GAGCGGCCTTCCTTGAACTGCCCAGTAAAGGAGGGGACATTGGCACCTGGGCTCCAGGACCCGCGGAGCTGGTCAGGACCCAGGAACACTATGGCTTTCCCACTGGACAAAAATCTAAGAGTGAGACCAATAATGAGGGGGTGTGTGTGTCCCGAGGAGCATGAGTGAGACGGGGAGGCTCTGGGAGAGGATAGCACCTTCAGGGTGGGGATTTTGGAAGGAGAGTGACTGCGGGGCTGGGGTCCCTGGCTGAACAATGACAGACTGGCCTTGGGGGTGGGGTAGGGAGACTTGAGCCCCAGAGGGCAGAACTCAGATCCATGAGTGAAGTTTACAGGGCAGATTTTAGCTCAGAAGCAAAGGCAGTCTGTGACAGCTCTGGCTGAATGAAGTGGAGAGCTCAGACTTGGGAGGTCATGAGCTCCCTGCCGCGCGGGAGCATGTTAAGGGAGAAAAGCTGGAGGACTCCCTACCAGGGACGTGGAGAAGAGATTTCTTTTACCCTGGGTGGGAAAAGGTCGCCTTCGGCGCTCTGGTTTTGAAAGACTCCCTACTTTGGATGGCTTTTCCGCTCATTCAGTTAACACCTCTGACCCAGCACCTACCATGAGTCAAGCCATGCCACCTTAGGTATTTTTATAACTTTCTAATTCATCAGAGGCTACGGCATGAATAACCAGAGCTCAGTTCTGATTTGGGAAAAAGCTAAATAAATTTCACCTGCTCTTTAGTTTGATTTCAAAGAAAAAAAGATGTATTTTTTTCTCTCTGCTCTCGGCAGAGGTCACTAAATCAGTGAAATCCACAACCTCTCCCAGTGTCCGTTTGCCCGAGCAGCTCCCACTCCCTTCGGTAGCCCATTTTTGTCTCCGATAGAAGTATCGAAAAGTATCATAACATACTGTTTTCCCTTTTGCTGCTTTTCCAGGGCTAGAGAAGGGCCTCCTACTGAGTGAGCAGCCGCCTTGAGCCAGGCAGGCATGTGTGCTGCCTTAATCAGTCCTCACCTCAGTCTTGCCAGGATCTGGGGCCCATGCACTTTCACTGTTCCACTCAGTCTTCAGGGTGCGGGAGAGTTGACTGGAAGGTGTTGGAGAGAGGAAGCGTTCAATTTGACACCCTTCTGTTGAGGGACCATGCGTGCCAGGTGCTCTGTGCCTAACAAAGCCTCAGAGGAGGCCGAGCCGGGAAGAGGGTGGAGGGAATGGGGAATTGGTTGCAAATGGGATAGAGATTGGCAGTTGACTGGGGAAAGCCCTTGACACCCCCCACCCCCCGCCCCCCGCCCATACACGCACACATAGACACACCTACCACCACCACCATATGCACACATACTGATGAGCTTAGAGTTTGTTCTGTGTGTGCTATTAAAGGATTCAAGGAAGGGACTCAAAGATGAGATTTTTGTTTTTCGTTGCTCATTCTGGCTGAGCATACGGAGGGACTGAAGAAGAGACATGTCAGAAGGGTGTTAAATTAATCCAGGAGAGAGGCTCTGAGAGCCTAACAGAGACAAGGCAAAGGAGGGACCCCTTTCCTTCAAGAACTCAGGGGGAGGTCGGAGCACTGGAGTTAGAGTGAGAGTCCACATCCCAGTGCCGCCACTCCCTGGCTGTGTATTCATGATCAGCCTGAGTTTCCACATCTGCAAAATGGGATGATAGTGCTTTTTGTCAGAGGGTTGTCATAAAAATGTCTAGCACCACGCTTAGCACATCAGTCAGCTCTCAGGCAAGGATGAATTTCATGGAGGAGGGGATTTGAACATATTCTTGCCCGATGGCCTCTCCAGACGGAGTGAGGCAGGAGGCATTGGTTGCCTGCAGGGTGTTCCTACAGGTGAGTTGGAGGGAAGCTGAGGGGACTGGAAAGGCTTGGCATAGATGGGCAGGAAAGGGAGGCTGTTGTTGCCTTAGGTGATGGGCAGGACTACTCAGGGCCTGGAAGGATCGAGGTTCATCAGCCAGCAAGCATTGATGGAGGAGTGTGCTTGGTACCAGGCTGTACCGTGCCGGCACTGAGAGGACAGAGATGGGGGAATCGGACCCAGTCCCTGCCCTCGTGGGAGTTCCGTCCTGTCGGGGAGGATGGAGAGGCAAACGCTCGGAGCCGGGGCTACTCCCGCTGATCTAAGCAGGCACAACAGGCTGTGGGCAAACAGATCAGGGAGAGAGTCTAGTTCGGTGTGAGCAGTAAGATGGGACAGCAAGGCTTAAGCAAGAAGAAATTTCCTGGAAGAGTGTTAGGGACTCACAGGATCAAGGGAGAAGGCTGGAGGACTGGGCAGGAATTTAGACATTTCTGGAAGGCCAGGAGGCAAGAGCTACAAGGCCAGTTCAGAGCAGGAAGAGGCTGATGAGGACACACCATTGCTGGGGTGTGTGAACTCATTTTCAGCCTCTTTGTAACCCTGCTCGAGAGCCCATTTCCAGAGGTGGGGAATACTCAGTTGGCCTCGCCGGGGCCGGGGTCTGATGTTCTCCTTGTGGCCGGGAGAGATGGAGCCACGGACGACAGTCTTGGCAGGCCAGGCTCAATGGGAAGAAGTCATCCCTTAAAAAGAAATTGGGGAGGGGGGTGCCGTTAGGGAGAGTAGCACCCATCTGGGTTCTGGAGCTGGACTGCCCAGGGGGAGATCCTGGCTTCTGCACTCCTAGCTATGTGACCTTGGACAAATTTCTTGCCTTCTTTTTGCCTCCGTTTCTTTTATCTGTAAAAGGAGAGCATAATGGTACCTTCTTGTAGAGTTATTGTGAAGATTAAAATAAATTCAGAATAAATTCACTAGAATAGTGTCTGTCACATGATACATACTCAGTAAGGCTGCTGTAGTAATCATTGTAAGTGCTTATTAGTTGTTATTATTACTAAAGGAACTACAGGTGGTGTGCCAATGTGCCTGGCAGGTGGAGGAGTGATTAGGGATGAATCTGAAGGGGGGGTAAGAAGGCTTCAGGGGTTGGTGCCAGCCTCACGAGTTTAAGACTTTATCCCCCAGGTAACGGGAAAGTGGTGGAAGGGTTTTCCTAAAATAACTTTTTGTTACAAAAAATTTCAAAATATAGAGAAGTTGAAATAGCGCAATGCCCGCCCTTATTCCTGCCATCTAAACACAATCTGAACATTTCAGCACATTTGCTTTATCTTTCTCACCCTATCTTTTCTCTTTTTGTGTTGCCTTTTGTGGAACGATGTGAAAGTAAGTTGCAGACATGATGACACATCACCTCTAAACACTTCCTTCCACTTGCATCTCCCAAGAATGAGGACATTCTCCCACACAACACATTGTTGTTCTACCTAAGAAAATTAATAATTGATAATAATTCACAATATCCTGTCACATCCAGCTGTGGGAGGATTTTAAGTGGGGCGTTAGACAAGGCATTGTGGCTGCCATGTGGAGGCTGGCTGGAAGGGGGCCGAGGGCGGGTAAATATCCCCCCAGTAATGCAGGTAACAGATGCTGAAGCCCGACCTAGAGTGACGTGGGGACACGAGGGCTGTTTGAGGTACCTACAGGTCTCCCATTGAACATGGTGGCAGGGACGGTGGGTCAGTGAAGTCTTTCAGGAGGAGGTGCCAGACCTAACAGCTGAGTGTTGTAGGATCAGGAGACCTGCAGGAAGCAGAGTGTGGGCAAGAGTGGATTCATTTGACACATGAATATTAAACATCTACTGTCATGATTCCGTTTATATGTCAACTTGACTGGGCCATGGGTTGCCCAGAGATTTGGCTAAACATTACTCTGGGTGTGTCTTGTGAGGGTGTTTTTGGATGAGATTAACATTTATTTATTTATTTTTTAAAGGGGGAGAGAGAGAGTTGGCGGGGGGGGGGTCGATGAGGGAGAGGGAGTCTTTTAAGCAGACTCAGCACTGAGTGCAGAGTCCAACCCGGGGCTCGTTCTCACGACCTGAGATCATGACCTGAGCCAAAGCCAAGAGTCCGATGCTTAACCGACTGTGCCACCCAGGTACCCCTGGATGAGATTAACATTTAAATCGGGAGACTGAGTGAAGCAGATTGCCCTCCTTAATATGGGTGGGCCTCATCCAAGCACTTGAAGTCCTGAATAGAACAGACTGACCCTCCCCCCGAGTGAGAGAGGATTCTCCTGGCTGATAGCCTTCAGCCTGGGACATTGGCTCTTCCTGGTTTGACATTGACTCAAACTGGGACGTTTGCTCTGTGAGATTTCAAACTTGCCAGCCTCAATAATCACGTGAGCCAATTCCTTATAAATAATGTACATATATGAATATAATATATATATATATATATTCTCTCTGTATATTCTATTGGTTCTGTGTCTCCGGGGAACCCTAATGCATCTACTATATGCTAAGCATTCTGTCATGGTGCAGAGACCATGACCCGCGAACATGACACAGGCTTTCATGGAGTGCGCCACTCAGAGCTCAGTTTGCCTGGACTCTGTGGTGAGTGGTGGGAGATGGGATGAAGGGTGGGCAGGGGCCTTGGAGGAAGGAGTATGGATTTTGTTCCATAGGCCAGTGCTTTCCAAACGTCAGTACCACTTTCATGGTTTTTGTCATATTCACATCTCAGCTGCATGCTTCTTTGCTTGATACATTTAAAAATACCAGTTTTACACCCATTCCTTTTTAAAAACTGTTTAAGCCACGATACCTATAAAATTACGGGATTTTTTTCTTTACACATGAAAATAAATATAAAATCATTACGATAAAAAGATGTTGGCCCATATACTGCTTCAAATAATTTCACAGTTTTCCTACATTTGGGGAAATTTGTCATGAGTGACAGGGGTGGGGTGGGATATCAGATCATGGGGTTTTAGGCAGGAAAATGCCATGCTGAGATCAGGTTTTGGAAAGATTCACTGGCTGTTGAGTGGTGAATAGGTTGGAAGATAGGGAGACATGCTCGGAATTCTGGCCGTTGTCCAGGGGAGCTCTGATAAGAGCCTGAAGCAAGGATGTGCAGTGGGAATGGGGGGGGCAGATGTGAGGGGGTTTTCAGAGGTAGAATTTGTTAGGATTTAGAGACAGTGGCGTGGGATTGAGGCAGGAAGAGGAGTCTAGGTTGGCTCAGTGATGGTTTTGGTTTGGTTGCCTGAGAAGACAGAGGTGCCTTCACCGAGGCAGGGAGCCCAGGAGAGGCTAAGGTCAAGTGCAAAGAGCAGGATATACCAAGCAATGGTTAGGGGCTGCAGAATTTGACTACAGTTTTAGCAATGATACCGTGAAGTGCATTGCCCCTTGATAGCAGACCCACACTTTAAATTAAAACATTTTTAGTTTAACTCTTCTGAGTGGACCCACACATATATTCTCTGCTACTTATTACTGAGAATGACTAAGTATTATAATTGAGCTGAAAATAATCTCCCGCCCATGCTTGCTGGGTTGGTTTCTAAGTATTGCTTGGGTTTTTATCTACTGAAACAAAGTTGCGCTCTTTCCAAATGTTAATTCTGAAGACTGCAGATGGTAACCATCTGTTACACGACTAGCATTTTACAATATTTGATTAGCACTTTATATAGTTTGGGGAAGCCTGCCAGTGGAGCCTGCCCATCAGGTGGGGACTTCGGTGGTATGTCCGCTGTGGTGGCCCTTGAAGGTCTGTCTTTGCCCCCATTGTATGGGGTTCCCCTGTTTTTTGGGGGGGCTTTAGCACAGCTGGTCAGACTGGCAGGTTGATAATTCGTGGCAGGAGAACCATAGGGGCCTTGCCCTGTTTGCACTCTTTCTTAGAGCTGGAACCATCGGACCTCATCGTGGAAGCAGAATTTGGGAGGTCAAGATCTGTCCATCAGTTAGGACTCTGGGTTGCAAGTGACAAAACAAACCCAAACCCCTTTTGCTTTGGCAAAGGGCATTAATTGAATCAGGTCATTAAAAAGTCTAGCGGTGGGACTGCCTTCAGGTGGATGGTTGTAGGATTCAAACGAATTCTTCAGACTTGGTTCCTCCCACACTTTCAGCTCTGCCTGCTGCTGTGTGGCTTCAGGCTCAGGCTTCCAGAGGAAGCAAGATGGCGCCCTTGAGAGAAGAGCAAATCCCCTCAGCAGCAAGTGTAGAGGGAAAGAACGGAGGCTTTCCCGGTCACCTCTGCAGAGGTGGTAGGCTGTGTTCTGATTGGGCCAGCTTCCATCACATGCCCATCTGTGGCCCAATCCCTGCGACCACGTGGATGCAGTGCTCTGATTGGTCAGACCTGGCGTGGAGCCCCACCCTGACCTGTGGGCGGAGGCCTGGGGAGGGGCGGATCGCCAGTCACGCATCCGGGACCCTTAGCGGAAGGGAGGAGGGTTGGGGGGCAGACGGCCACCTGCCTGCCCTGGTGTCGTGGCGGGAGCCCAGAGTACCAGGAGGCGTTGGCAAACTTAGCGGTGGAGACAGGCGGTTATTGTTGCCAGGAAGATAATATGCTGGAAATGGAATGAAGGAGCCTCTGAAACGGGCTACTTAATGAATTTCCTTTCTTAGTTTAAGAACCTCTGATTTAGTAATCTGGGTCTCTTTTTTTTTGAGGGGGAGGGAGTGTCTTTCTTCTTTTTATGTTACTTTAAAACTAAGGCCAGTCACAATCTTGGCCTTTTAGCTCCTTCGTTTGGAACATTGTGAGCTGCTCTTTCAGAGAGGGGAGATGTGTACAGAGCAGATAACAGATACCATTCAGTCCAGTTCAACAAACAGGGCACGAAGCCCCGGGGCCTGGGCCAGCCTCCACAGGCCTGGCAGCAGATGAATCCTCAGCAGTGTGGGAAGCACTGTAACAGCTCCAAAACAGGGCACTGCAGCCCCTCAGGCCGGGACAGTCAGGAAGGGCTTCCCAGAGGAAGTGACACGGAGCTGGACCTGGAGGGATGACCATGAGTTCCTCCCATGGCAGAGAAGAGGAGGGGAGCTTGATGCCGAAGGGGCTGCTTGTGCCAAGGGACCAAGAGGTGAGGTACTTGCTGGTTTGGGGGATGAGCCTAGGCCACTGACTGGTTCCAGAGTGCATTCTGGCGTCAGCCTGGAGGAGACTGGAGAGTGACAAGCTGAAGGTGGGGGCAGACAGCAGGCAAGATGCTGTGGTAGAGGTCCAGGCATGAGCCTTTGGGGCATCTGGTTAAAATGTATTCTGTTCCCTAGCAGGTCTGGGGCGAGAGAGTCTGTTTCTAACCAGCTCTCAGGTGACTACTGGTTGGTGCTACTGGTCCAAGATGGTACTTTGAGTGGCGAGGCTCAGACGTCTGGCCATTCTCCCCTCTGTTGCCTGTAGTCAGCTGTGCAGGGTCTTCCTGCTTATCTCCCCTACTCTGCCTGTCCGTGACACGCTCTCACCCGCCACCGCAAGGTGGCTTCCAGAAAGAAGGCACCCGGATGTGGCTGTGCGATCTCGCCTTTGGTCCTGGCAGGCCTGCCCTGGGCTGAGACTTCTGCAGGACAGGATGCTCCGCCCGAGTTCAGGGTCTGGGTTCTGTGCAGTGTGGCACGAAGGGGACCCGGCCTCCACGGTGTATCAGACCTGCTCACAGAGCCGTGGGACGTGGGGCTCGGGGCCGAGGCTTGGCTTGATGTCTTAGAAGTCATGCTCTGTGTTTTCCAGGGACAGAGGGTCTCACAGATGGCCCCGCTCCCAGGGGCAGAGCGGGTCCAGAGGCCGCTGCAGCTCTACCGATACCTGCTGCGCTGTTGCCGGCAGCTGCCAGCCAAGGGCATCCAGGAGCATTACAAACATGCTGTCAGGCAGGTGGGCGCAGGGGTGCTGGGCTCGGGATGGGGGGTTCCCGTGATAGAGGGCTTGTCTCAGGGTTGGGGGCAGGGGACAGGGATGGTCTTTCGGGTGGTGGTGGAGGGGTGGGGCGGCAGTCTGGTAAGAGCCACCAAAAACCACAGCCCAGCTCCTCTCTCTGATTTCTGCTCGGAAAACAGATGTATCATCCAGCACATCAGCTCCGTGCCAGGGCTCAAATAAGGCAGCTAAGTGGATAATTAAAATAGAGTATGGGCCATAACATCATTTTGACAGGCATTAATGCACAGCCTGAGTTTACTCATGAGAAAACATCAGGAAAATCCAGACAGAGGGACCATCTCCCACACCGCTGGCCTCGGCTCATCCAACATGGCAGTATTGGGAAGCACAGAGAAAGGCAGACCTGCTCTGCTTTCAAGAGGACTAAAGAGATGTGACCACGAAATGTAAAATGAGTGGATTGGATTCTGGACCAGGAAAAAACAGTGATTAAAGGGGACATTATTGGAGACCTTCATGAAATTGGAGTATCGGCTGTAGATGAGATGATAGTATGATATTAATGTTGAATTTCCTGAATTTGACTACTGTCGTTATGTAATCTCCTCATTAAAACACCCTGAAGCATTTAGGGGTCAAGGGTAACTTCTAATTGCTCCCAGAAAACTGAGTACAAACCCATATAAAGAGAGAATGATAAAGCAAATGTGAGATGTTCACCATTGGTGATTCTGGTAGGGAATATGTTTATATTCTTGCAGCTTTTCTGTAGGTTAGAAATTATTTCCAAAAAAAATAAAAAATAAATACAAATGTAATGTGGAAAGTAAAAAAATAAAGGTAGCGACAGACAGGTTGTGAAAACATGGAGGAGGGAGCCGCTAGCTGCCTGAGGGCATCAGGGAGGACTTCCCAGAGTGAGCATTTGAGGTGCTCCTGAAGACAAATAGGACCTGCGGGGTCAAGAGTGACTGGGCAGGGGAGGTACCAGGTGCCCTTCTGGAGGGCCCTGAGTGCCACACCAGTGAACCCGAATCCCACGTTCCTTCTCAAGGGTGAACATCTGGTCAGAGGCAAACAACAGCCCCACGTTGCTCTGCACCGGGCCTTCTCCAGTCACCCCCTCCACGGCCCACACCCTGCTTGGCCTTCCAGCATGGGCCCGGAGAGGCCCTGTTCCTTCCTATTGTGCAGCATGGTGCAAGTAGCTCCCTGGGGGAGCAGATGGAACCGAGAGGTGGAAGTTTCCTTGGGCCCCTGCTGCCTGATAACCTTTGGGCCCAGCCTGATTTGGGGTAACTTGGGGGCCAGTCTTCCATCTTGTAGCTGCTCTGCTGGCAGGAGGACTGGCTGTGTGGTTAGAATCGACCAGGATTTGAATGCTGGCGCCATGCACAGTCCCAGTTAGGGCATCTGAGCCTCTGTTTCCTCATCTGTAGGTGGGATCATCCTAACTCTCTCTGGAGGGCTAAGAGCCATGCTGAGTACAAAGTGGCCGCAGTGTGTCTGGCCTGTGCCTGGTGCTCTGAAGATGCTGGTCCTGTGAATTTTGCCTTGTCATCTTTCTTTTATGCTTAAACTTCCAGAGTTTCCGGGTTCATTCAGATGAAGACAATCCTGAGAGAATCCAGCAGATTATTAAAAGAGCCATTGAAGATGCAGACTGGATCATGAACAAAGTAAGTGCTTGGTTCCCGGCTCCCCCTGCCCGCTGGGGGGGTTGACAGCAGTAATCTCCATGGCCACCAGGGGTCGCCCCTGCCCTACAGTTGAGCCCTATCAGGCCTGCAGAGGCACCATACAGCCCCAGCCAGCCACTCTGGTGGTGGCAGATGCCTTTCTGGTTGCATTTGTTTTCTGCAATGGGTGGAGAGTTCTCAGTCCCTAAAGGCCAACAGTGCTGAATAAGCTGAGATGGGGTAGCAGGAAGAAGGAAGAAAAAGGTCTTCTTGGAAGCAATAGTGCCAGGACTAGCAGCAGCCTTGTGATGCCTCAGACGGGAAAGCTGTATTGGGGCATAGTGAGCTCCCCGTCTCCAGGGGTATTCATACTGAGGCAGGGTTACTGAGGAAACATTCAAGTATCTATTTTGGTAGAGGAAGGGCGGGAGTCAGGAAGACAGACTAACTTGCTGGTCCTTACCCACTGGTGTTAGAACAACCTAGAGAGCTGGGTGGAGCATGCCCCCCTCCCCCGCCCCATCCTTCTAAATCAGAATCTCCAAATGTGGGGGTTGGGGTTCGTTTTAAAAACTCAGTGATTGGACTAGATGACCTCTGAGGGTCTTCCTCTATCTGAGATTTTTTTTTTTTCCTTTGAACCAAGATTCAGCTTAAAGAACAGGATGGGCATGCCCCACGTTCCTTTCTACGTTCCCGCGTCTGTCTTATGTGCGCCCTCCTAGCCTGTCAGCTTCCTTTTCCGTTAAGCAAGAAAGGGGGTCCCGGTGCCAGCTAGAGATTTGACTGGTGCCTGCCCCCCACCCCACCTCTAAGGAGCCCCTGCAGGAGGCAGTTAAAGCCCAGAAGAACATGGTTCTTGGGATTTCCTGGGTCTTCCCTCCCCCATTGGCTTCCCTCACCCACTTCTAATGATCTCTCTGCCTTACAGTATAAGAAACAAAACTGAGATGCTGGAGCCTAGAGAACCAAGCTGTCCTGAAGATATTGAAGTTGAGAGACCTCGCTTCTTCTGGAAGTTAGCAGCGGCAGCCGTTTTGGAATATCCATCGGCCTTATTGGCTGAGAGCAGGAAATCGGGGGTAGGAGAAGCTGACGTCTGCTCAGCTGGCTCTTCTTGCCACGTGTGTGTCCCAGCATCCTTTATGTTTGCTTTTCTGGCCATTGCCACGGGAGTTTGGGGGAGAATATATTTTGTCACTTTGCTCCGAAGGTGCTGCATGTATTCTGGATGTTGTCCTTTGAGACCCAGAGTGGGCATCCCCTTGGGCTGTCCAGGGAGGACAGGGCATGGGTTTTTGAACCGGTCAGGTCTGGATTTGAATCTCAGTTCTGCGGCTTTTCAAGGGTGTTGCTTTTGAGCTCAGCCTCCTCCTGTGTGAAGATTAAGTATAAGGAAGTCGAAGAGCTTCAGGTAGGACATGATATGTGGTGGTGTGAGTAAATGTTCCCCTGAGGAGCCCATCCTCCACCGCTCCTTCCTCCCCGCCCGCAGTGCTCCACGTCTCTCTGGTACACTCCTCGTTGGGCCCGGGGGATGTGTGGGCCTGCCCTGTCCTGCTTGTTGTCCCTGAACGCTCGCGGCCCCTCCGTGCCCAGCAGGCCCCCAAGCAGCCGCTCCTCCCGGCTGTCCTTCCGTGAAGTCCTGGTCCTCGCCTTCACGGAGTTTCTAGTGTCCCTGAAGTGGTGAAACGCACGCCGCATGGAACAAGGAAGAAGGGCAGACCAGCTACAGCGGATGCCGAAGTGTACAGGCCTCTGTGAACCTGCGATCTGTCCTGCTGGCCCTTCCCCGCTTTGCCACTGTCTTGGAAGGAAGAATGGAGGCAGGGCGGCAAGCAGGGAGGCGGGGAGCAAGCATTCCTGTGGGGTATGGTGAGCCTGAAACCCGTGGAGAGAGACTGGGTCACATCCCAGTGCCATAGAAGTCGCTCGTAGGGGAACTTACCTGGCCCATGTCAGCCTTGGTTTCCCCACCTCCAGTGCAGTGATGCCCCCACCTACCTGCCGGGCTGCAATGAGGAGTACTGAGCTCTAACGCGTGCCAGGTGCTTCCTGCAGAAGCTGGCTCAGGGAGCCAGCTGCACTGCCGTGGCTGGTCACCACAGTTAGGGAGCCCTGCTTTGCAGACGGGGAGATGGAAGCACAGACAGGTCGAACCCCTTTTCAAGGTCACCAAGCTGCTAAGCGAGGTCTGTGTGAATCTACCAAACAGTACAGGGAAGGGAGAGCAGCAGAGAGAGGGAAAGCGTCCAGGAAGGACTCGGGGGGCTGGCCAGAGCAGGAGGGGCAGCCAGAAGTGGAGAAGCCACATTGGACTTGTGTATCCCCAAGGACTCCCAGCCAGAGGGATGAGCCAGCAGCTTCATGACCCTGCAATGAATTATAGGACTTAAAGTGACTCCGGGACATCTGTATGGACTGATCAGCAGGGAATGAAGTAAATACCAATTTCTGAAAGCTCTGGTGTCTTGAGTGCTGTGCTCATTCATTCCCCAAACACATGCTGTTCCCCACTGTGTGCTGTTATCCTAGGTATTGGAGACTTGCGGACAGGCCTGTACAATAGGGATCGTTCTTCAGAGGGCAGGTCTCTCTTTTGTTTAGATTCTTCTTGTTTTCTAACCATGGGGGAGGCTGGTATGTGGTGATTATTTCTTGGCCAGGTATTGGTTGTGTGTGTGGGGGGCGTGGGGGGTCCTCTCCTTATCACTGATGCTCAGGGGCTGATATGGAGGGGGGAATGCTCACTCTGACTGCATGATGGGCAGGCCTGGGTGGCTCCCACAAGAAGTTCGTCTTGAGGCAGAGAAAAGACTCCCCCCCCCCCCAAGCACAGATTGTCAAGAATTAAGACCCAAACTTCCTCCCAGCTTCCTGAGATGAACCTGACCCTCTGTCCATCTTGCCTCCCTGGGGGATGGGGATTAACATGAGCATCAAGGGCAAAGAAAACCAAACTACCTTTGTTGAATGACAGAGCGAAACTTGGCAGGTTCAATGTGAGGGAATAATGACCTTGGTTTTTTGGTTTTGGTTTTTTTTTACGATTTTATTTATTTGAGAGAGAGAAAGAGAGTACAAGCGGGGTGAGTGGCAGAGGGAGAGGGAGAAGCAGGCTCCCCGCTGAGCAGGGAGCCCTATGCAGGGTTCAATCCCAGGGTCCTGGGATCATGACCTGAGCCGAAGGCAGACGCTTAACTGACTAAGCCACCCAGGCGCCCCAGCAGTGACCTTGTTAACAATGGGATGGGTGATTGTAGTTCAAGGGAAACACCAGAAGTTCAAGTATCATGCCTTAAGAGATTAAGAGCTACCTCTACCTCCACCTCCTAAATGCTATTGCCTGCTGTCAATACCATGGAGTCACACATCTCTGAAGACAGAGAATCTCTTCCCACCAATATCTGGAGAGGTACCTCATTCTCTTTGAGCTTTGAGCAATGAGTGCACAAGACGAGCTTCATCAGACTTCTGAAGCTGACTACAGTTCATAACCTTGAGATTGGTTGAGCCCATCAGCCTCTGTGCTTGTCAATTTCAGCCACTAACCGAAAGCAGGCTCCTCTAATCAGCAGTCTCACGTACTCTCATTCCCAAACTGATGTGAGTTTCTTACCCACATCGCTGACCTCACTCCCGCCCTGTTCATGATGTCCTCCAGCACCCTTGCACCTTGCACATAGATTCCTTACTCTCTCAGCACTCCAGCCTGTTCGTTCCATGTGTATTTGCCCAAGCTTCTCCTGTCTGCAGTGCCCTTCTTAGCTTATTCACCTGAAAAAGATCTTTTCTCTGTCAAGACTGAGCTTGTGCATTATTTCTATGAAGATGTTCTTTACTCCCCCTAGCATTACATCTTCCAAGATTTTTTTCATGTTAACTGGTGAATGAAAACCAATCAGATGACACTGGTTCCTTGGAAAAATGAATGCAATCTTTAGGCCAAATTAAGAAAGACATGGGATCAAGAAGAAGGGAGGTGAAATCTAGAGCAGTGATTTTCAGGTGTGGTCCATGGCCTTCTGGGAATCTCCCAAGCCCTCTCATGGGATCCTCAAAGTCAAAAGTGTGTTCATAATAACCCTAAGACTTTTTCTTTCCCACTCTGTGAACATGGGCACTGATGGTACAAAAGCAGTGATGAGTAAAACTGCTGCTGGTGCCCAAGCATGAATCAGGATAGGGATTATCACCACCAGCTTACTCATGAATGTCCCTGATGAAACAGCAAAAGGCTTAATTTTGTTAAATCTCAATCCTTGAGTATAAAAATACTCTGTGCAATGAGCTGAAAAGCACACATAAAGCGCTTGTATTGCACACATAAGTAGAACATTTGTCCGGAGGACAAGCACACAGTTATTTGAGGTATGAGATAAATAAACTGCGTTATTCACAGAATACCATTTTTTTTTGTTACTGAAATAGTGACTGGCAAACTGGTTGGATCTGTCCTCTATCATGTTAATCATCCTTAAGAGTTTCATTTCCTCTGTAGTGTTGCCATTCATTCATGTATTCACCAATTCATTAATTCAACAGACACTGAGCACTCTTATGTATCAAAAATTCCATCTATGTCTCCATCTAGGTGAGATGATGGGTGGTTTAATTTGCTCCCCCTACTGATCTGCATGGTTTCTGGAAATGTGTGGAGAGATTTAGTTTTAGGCACCCATGATGACCCCTAGGAATCTAGAAGTCTCTTTCAAAAAGTTTTTTTCCCTAAAATTTTCCTATTTATAGACATTAGCCCGCATTTATACACACATACATAACATTTGTTGCTAACAAGTCTGGCTGGAAAATGGTGAATTACTTTGAAAACATGTTTTTTTTTCTGACATTGTCACCTTCCTATTACCATAAATCTTTAAAATTCTCGAACTGAAGAGAGAAGAGGAATTGTCCAAGGGGTCAGCTTGCTAGGTCAGCCTCAGCTTCCAGCCCCCAGGCGTGGAGGTAAACGAACATTCTCATCCTTTTCTTTATCTTGGCTCTGGTGTTGATTTCACTGCTCTCTCTCTGGCTCAGGATGCTATATTTTTCCCTTGCATACTTGGCTATGTTGGAAACCTCTGCTTGAGGAACTTGCAACCCTTAGACGCTGCTGGTGGGAATGTAAAATGGTGCAGCTGCTTTGGAAAACAGTTCGGAAGTTTCTCAAAATGTTAAACGTGGAGTTACCATATGACCCAGCAGTTCTATACACAAATCTGTGTATATGTCCAAGGGGAATGACATACGTTCACAGAAAAAACTTGTACACAAATGTTCATGGCTTTATTTATAAGAGCCCCCCAAAAGAGCAAACAACCTAATGTCCATCAACGGATGAACAGATGAATAAAATGTAGCATAGTCATACCGTAGAATATTATTTGGTAATAAAAAAACATGTAAACCCTGCAAAATGGATGAACCCTGAAAACACAGTGCACTTAGTAAGAAGCCAGTCACAAAAGATAAGGATATAATGTACGATTCCATTTATACAAAATATCCGTAATAGGAGAATCTGTGGAGACAGGAAGTAGATTAGCGCAGGGCTGAGAGGGGGACAGGTGTTGGCTGGAATGGGAGTGATTGTTAATTGGTACAGGGTTTCTTCTTGGAATGATAAAAACAGTTTAAAATTAAATTGGGGTGATGGCTCTACGACTCTGTGAATACATTAAAAATGACTGAATTGAGGGCGCCTGGGTGGATCAGTTGGTTAAATGTGCGACTCTTGGTTTCAGCTCAGGTCTTGATCTCGGTTGTGAGTTCAAACCCCGTGTTGGGCTCCACGCTGGGTGTGGAGCCTACTTAAAAACAAACCACTAAATTGTACAGATTAAATATGTGAATTGTGTGGTATGTGAATTATATCTCAATAAAACTGCCAAGAAGAAATCAAATTCCAGGAGAAAACCAAACAAATCTCAATGTGTCTGGAAGATACCACTTAAAATTCCTAGAAACATTCTCGCCTTCTCGATTAGTCTCAGTTGAAAGGAACAATCGTCTTTTCCCTTCAGTGGTGTCTGAAGTTGAATTTTTCTACTGGCCTTCTCCTGATGCCTTCTTCACCCCCCTGCCCTCAGCTTGTAATCCTGTGGGGATGATTCTCAACTTTCCTTCAGCAGACTAAGCCAAGGGAGGCTAAGACATTTGTCCAAGGTCACATCTCAAGAACATACATGTCCCAAGTGAAGTCCTTTCTAGAGGTTGAAGGCAGCTCTTCCAAAGGTATGAAGAGATGATAACCAATCTCCATTAAGTTATACTTGAAAAAGATTTTATTCTCATCCCCTCTTAGAAGTCTCAGAGGCACAAAAGGACTTGGGGAAGTGAAGTGACTTTGCATTACAAATAATTTAACTGAGTTTTTAACTGGAGTGCCCTCAACTTGTCACCTCTGCCTGAAGCAACCTCAGCCCATTATTCCAGTTGCCTGTTGATATTGTCACTTTTTATGTATGCTAGGGAATGAAAAGGGTTGCCGAGCACTGGAGTCTTCTTGGTGTTTTCTGTGGCTGGAATCACTGAACTGTCTCTCTGACTTGTATATGGCCACCACAACCCAGAAAAAGAGCCTTGATATTGTAGGGGATGGGCTAATAACTACGTGACCTTGGGGGAAGTTACCTAACCTCCCTAAGCCTCAATTTTGTCATTTGTGTAAGAGAGATGAAAATCATAGCTGTCTCCCGGTGTAGTTGTAAGGATCCAATGGGATGCTGCATGGAACATGCTTAGCTAGAGCCTGGTACACAGCTAGCACTCAATAAATGTAGCTGCTGTGCTTGTTAATTGCATGTAGTCTCCCTGCACTGGTGGTTGGGGTGAGTTTGGGCTTGCAGACTGACTTCTCTGCATATTAGTTCACTGATCAGGGAGAACAAACTCATTTTAAGATTTCCCTAATACCTTCCATCATAACTGAGAAGAGAAAACTGAGGAGAGAAACCAGGAGCATGTCCAAGTGGTCTCCGATGTAGCTACATGATCAGTGTCATGAGGCTCTTAAAGGGACGATAATTTAAAAATATATATATATATATTTTAAAAATTTTTATTTATTTGATAGAGAGAGACACAGCGAGTGAGGAAACACAAGTGGAGGGGGAGAGGGAGAAACAGGCTTCCCGCGGGGCAGGGAACCCGATGTGGGGCTCGATCCCAGGACCCTGGGATCACAACCCGAGCTGAAGGCAAATGCTTAATGACTGAGCCACCCAGGTGCCCCAAAATATATATATTTTTAAAAGTAAGCGCTATGCCCAACGTGGGGCTTGAACTCATGACCCCGAGATCAAGAGTCGCATGCTTTACCAACTGAGCCAGGCAGGCCTCCCCCAAAATAATTTTGAATGAAAAATGTCTATGATATGCTCCCAAGAAAAAATAGTACACAGATTGCATGTACAGTGTGTTCACTTAACAAAGAAACCATCAGACAAACTTGCCTGTGT